TTACATCAGTAATATGTGGAACTAGCTTAAACTGATTCTAGAACTGGTATAAATGAAAATACCGGCAAGTTCATATTCCGAGTGGATAAATAATAATCTCAAAGACGGTGTGTTTTAATTTTTAATATACTAGTTTTGTATGTTATACTTATGCTGAAAAGTGAGATATGTCAAAGATATGAAGAAATATTGAATCAAAAAACAAAACAATAATAAGTGATCACCCGAATGTTGGTTAAATTAAATTTTGATACATAGGTACTTTTTAACATTTCACATATTTTTAAATTCTATGAAACTTCTTTGTTTGAAAATTTTAGTCTCTTCTACATATTTATTAAGTATTCCAGTCTTACATTTCTGTCTGTAAGCGCTTGCTACAAAAATTTTATCAACAAGGAATTTGTGTCTCATTATTATATCACTATGATACATATACACGTCATATTTTACAGAAATAGTTTATATTATACATAATTAAATATACAATAGGGTTAAACGTATTTTTAGAACCAATTGAATTAATTAGGTACTAAGTTCTTACTAAGTACCTACACAAATATCTGCATAGTAATAACAATTTGTCATTTTTCTCTAACTTGTTTACGTTTTTTTAAGAATTAAACTTATTTTTTTTTATTCTAGGACTATTTTGCCGCCTCAATATCAGCTGTACAACGATTCGTATGATGAAAAATGCTGTTTCAACGACAGTAAGCACGCTGGCGCCAACAAATAGAGCCGTGGTCCCTCCGAGAGAAGCTGCAGAAATTCAATATTTATTATTCTTATATTATATATTGTGTGGCAGTTAAGGTCTCTGGACTAGTGGTCTCTTCGGTCACAGGACAGGGCAGACAGGTTACCCGAGCAGGGCCTCTTCGTCATACTGTAGTCTCAAGTATAATTCTTGTTTCATTTCTGAAACATGTGGTTTTATTTATCCTGATGATAAGTGATTACCGCCGCCTATAGACAGTGGCAATTCAAGAGTCACAAATGTTGCTTTAGGGTCCTCATCACGGGGAGGTGAGGATTGGGCTCCGATAACCTCACTCACTCGATAAAAAGCAACTATTGTTTGACACCAATTTCCTGTGAGGCCGTAGTCTAACTCCTGTCGAACGGGACCTATTTGTGTCGAAGCATGGCTCTCCTACACTCCCGCGGCATAAATCTCACAGCAGGTATACCTTCTCCTCCAATTATATGCCACCAAGAATTCTCCATCTTCCCTTTTCCCATTTTCTAACAAAAACTTACCTTCTTTTTTCCATCTAAAAATATTTATTACATTCCTACGAAACACGCCAGGTGAGCAGATGTTTAAAGTTATATATAAGCAACTTAAGGCTAGTAAAAAAATATGACAGGTGTAAATGACAAGAAAACTTCACGAAAAATTCAGGCAAAGACGAGAATTTCAGATTAAAGCATGCATTTAATAGCAAGCCGCTCAAGCAGGCTAAAGAATATTCCCTCTTAAGTACATAAACTTACAGAATGTAAAAAGAAAAACAAGCCAATGAACACCAAGTCATCATCGTGCATCCGGTCTATAAGGTGCCTACTCTCTTTTCTTGAATATTTAAATCACATCACCACATCACATCCACAGCTTTTAATAGTCTACTGTTGGACATAGGCCTCTCCTTAGAAAGGAGGTTTTGACCTGCTATACCACGCTGGCCAGACGGGACTCTTTGCACCTACGGGATGAATAGGGGCGGTGACACTCTGTATTCTTAATCCGTCACCCCACGGATGTAAGTCATATCGGTCCGGAAATATGTGTGACAATGATTTATTCAACAGCTTGATTTTGCGAGGTCAAAAGTTTTATGAGAGAGGGTACACAGAAAACTTAAAGTGAAGTGAAAGCTCACTCAATAGGTGTATACTCGTAATAGTAAGCGGTGCGAAGTGCCACCCACCGAATAAATCCTCCAGAGTAAATATAACGTCTCTGTTCAGGCGAATCTTGGGGGGCATCATGTTCACCCTGATGGCCGATATAACATTCTCATTCGCTTGTTCTTCTTCTTCTTCGTTGTCTTCTAACACGCTCCCATTCATGTTGGTTATATAAGTATAAGTTAACATCATGACGCAGCATTAATTTAAAACTTAATATAAAAAAATGCAGGAATGGGTGATAGGTGCCTCCAACACAAAGGGAGGGGTACTTCGACTACGCTAGGCTCTGTGCTTGGTGGACCGCAGCTCAATCGTTGATGTTGGGAAATTGTACATGTATTATACTGATTGCAGCGAGATCTTAAATTGCGCAATACAGGATAAGTAGTCACTCCATAGTTCGGTGTATCTTCGCTGGATGACATTAAAAGTTTTTTGATATATTTTGCAAATGTAGCACAATTTTTTTCATCATAAAATGGCTACTATATCTGTTTACAATAGACACAGTGTAAAAACGAATTATATTATAAAACAGCTCAAACAACATAGACAAAACTAGTATATAAATGTGTATATATATAATTCGAAATGTATCTGCAAATATAAATGTAGGGGAAGGTGGCCTAAAACGGGTAAGCTAAGAACGAAGATAAAAAAAAGTGTTAAATCATGTTAGGAATTAGCTGGATTTACTTTATAAGATAGGGTATTTATCGAACTTAAAAATAAAACACTATTTGAAAATATTTTGTATTAAATATTAATTTAATAGAAAAAATACAAATCCTTTCCAAAAACCCGTTTTGCCCACATATGAGCCTAAAAAGGGTAACCTCCTTTGGGCAAAACGGGTAAGTCTAGGGTAAAACGGGTAAGTGTCATCATTGATCAGATAAACTATAATCATAATTATAAAAGGCAGGAAGCTAATAATTGAACCTTATTTAACATTTTGGCACTTAGCATATAACACATGTTTGCTCAAAATAGGTCTTAAATGGACCGTATACACACAGATCCAGGGGCTGCATGCGGTGTGTGGTATGTGGAGGAAGAGAGACAAAAATCACATTATTTTTTTATGCATATTCTGCCTCAACATATTTGTGGGATTCGTGGTTGCCCAGAACCAAGATTACTTTCTTCTCCAGTGTTGGACGCATAAGTTCAACAAAATGTCGAAGCCATTCCAAAAAGGTAGATCCCGTTATCCAGCCGTTGTCTGTGCAAGTAGCATAGGCGCCAGGTGGAGACCCATCCAATAATCTGCTAATCATTCTCTTTCTTTCAAAAATGAGAAATGGGGGAACAAAAGATCCAGCTGCGTTGCAACAGCAGACAACTGTCGTTAGTTTCCCTCTCTCAACACTAGATATTACGCCAACCTGCTTTTGCCCGGTTCTCGACAAAATTTTTGGAGGCTTATTACTTGTGGTGGTATCCCCGTTTCATCAACATTATATTTCCGCGTTCCGTCTATGGCATGTTTCTCTATTTCTATTTCCAGTATGTCGTAGAATCTATCAAGTTGCGGTTTATTAAACCCTCAGGCTCGTGCAATTGATGTTGGTTCTGGTTGTCTAAGCGTAAGGTCAGGGTGCCGCTTTTTAAAACCTAAATACCAGTTCGTTTCCTGCTCGGCCGTCTTTAAAAGGGTGCGATATGGTGTTTCGTTCTGCATACTGGTAAACAAGCTCTAAAAAGTCGTTTTTAGTACAACCATTGAAAATATCATCGACCTGAAATACATATTCTAGTAATTCTCTTTCTTGAGCCTTTTTGCTCAAACACCGGCTGATATCTTCGTAGCTTCTTCTCAGAACTTCCTTTTTTATACGCCGTTGAAAAGTAGATAGGATAAGGCCATACTTCTTTGCGGCGGCAGAGACCGAAGTAGTCTTCGCTTCTTCCATTGCTAGTTGCATAGTAGTTTCACTCCACGATGCACGTACGGTTTTACGCTTATATTTATTTACCATCTGAAAAAGATCCGAAATATTTTAATACAAAACTGATTCCTGGCAAAACGAGTATGTACCCGTTTTGCCCTACCCATTTTGCCCGAGAGCACATGTTTTTTGTAAATTAATAATAACCTCAAAATGAAAGGTAAATGGGGCAAACTTTTTATCTTAAATTAAAGTTAGATAATGCTTGAATGAAACGGTACTACTAATAATATGAGAATTATAAAGGTTTTCGACTAATTACGAGACACTTACCTTGAATTTTTTTAACAAAATCACTTTAAAACTTTCGTTGCACACACCTACGCCATTCCGCGACTCCGGCGCCTGAGCGAAACTGATCGAAACTCGTCAATGTTCGGCAACTCTCGACACAAGCACACATTGACACTTATGCTTGATACAACAATATACGAGTGCTTACCCGTCTTGGGCGGCCCACCCGTTTTGGGCCACCTTCCCCTATGTGAATTTCTGTATACCTTACTTTTGTAACGATACACGATTTCTACACCAGCCTAAGGTTGACTGAACGAGAATGCCTTGGGCATTAAGTCCGCGAAGTACGTACAAATATGTAAAAAGTTATATAAATAAAACTTCACGCAATTCAAACACTTGAATAATATGTTTTATTGTACACCAGGTATTAAATACAATAAAAAAAGGTACTAGAATCTCAATAATCGCCTATGAATTGCCTCGTGTTAGAAATAGGTAGAAGAGGAAACGGGCAAAGAGTCGCCAGAGTTATTGCAGATAGGTACATTACTTTGACTTATTTTTTGACATGTGATAGTTTTCAAGCATAGCTTGTTTTACAAATATACTTTAAACATACTTACTTATATAATTTTAAGGCTTTCAATATGCTGGGCTTTTTCGGTTAAAACTTTACGAATTTAAATATTTTTGACACGGATCTCTCTCATATCACTTAATGGTGTAAAGGACTGGTAGGTAAGAAATATTTTTTTCTGTCAGACAAACTAACCACCAACAAAAAACGTATCTCTACATTAATTTACGCGCCGATAAACAGTTACAGTCACTGTGTACCTAATCTTGCTAAAACTAACTAAAATAAAGAGAAATATACATAAATAGACTAACCGAATAACGATCTTTTTTGTGTGTGAATAATAATTGAGTTCGGCACACTGAGGAAGGCAGGCGCACTTGGCAAGATTCTTGGGTATATTGATGAGGATTTCGACATTGCGCCCGATGCACGCCATCCCATGCGCGTTACACACGTCGCCATCTTATCGACACAACAAAATGGCAGTCACAGATATAAATTTAATTTTTATATAGAAATTTTAATTATAGAAATACAATGAATATTTATGTTGATAAATATTTTTTATATGTTTTCGAAGAGAAAATTTTTTGACAGCTTTTCTAGATTATGTCAAAATGGATTGAAATGTTTTACTTTTTTCTAAACTGCCAGTAGTTCTAAAAAGGTTTCGATTAATTTTGGCCCAATTCAAATTTGTGGGGGGAGAGGGGAGAGTAATGAGAAACCAGGCAGGGTATTTGAGATTTCTTCTTTCTAGACTTGTAAAGGGTAAGGAAGAAGCACTAGGTCTACTTCCTTTTTATCGGGCTTCCTGCAAATGGGGCAGAATTCAGAATTCTTGTAAAGGTCACGTGAGGCGAGTTGAGGGGATCCATCATGTAACAATTCGTTTATAGTTAGGCAAGGAGAACCATCTTATACGGGGGGAAAGTGGAAAAAGTGTCAGGCTGCATACTGAAAAAAGAGGTCGCTAGCGTACGAAAAACTACGATATGAATATAGCCATTGTAGACGGAGTAAAGTGTGCTGAGTTTAAATATTATATTACTTTTATTGTCTGAAAGTTAATATATATATTATACAGACTATTTTCGCTGTCTAATTATCATTTAAGACAATATACATTTATCCTAGGCTACTGCAGCGCCACCCTTTTGGACGCGTTTTTACGGACTCTTTATACACAGAGATGGTTCTCCTTGCCTCTACCCTCTATAACGGTTAGGGCACTGAAGTTGATGCAGATAGATATTTAATCAAACCGTATCTAACTCACGGGTTTTTTTCCCCTGAAAGACTCAAACAGTATCCGATTCTCTTGGAGGCTCGTGATAAACTAGAATTAGATCCGAAGACCACTAACAAGAAATTATCAATAAAAACTATTTCTTACCTCCTTTCACGTGGAAGTATGGTCTACATCCACAGAACATGACCGCCATGCGACTCCGGCAATGCATCTGACATAACGAGAAACTGTAGGCCTGTAAGTAAATATTTATTCAGTCTGAAATCCGCGGTTCATACTTTAAGACTTAAATTTTCCTTCTTGTTGTCTTTCTTGTAAGAACCTGTTATAGTATTTTAGTTCATAGTGAAAAAGGAATTTGGCTATTTTGGAATTAAGGAATAGGCTTCGACTGCACTGGAGGCGGAGTGGCTTAAGCGGTATCCTCGCCGCTTCCAGTAGGAAGCTTAGCGCAGTAGCGCTGCGTGTTGGGAGTTTGATCCTCACATGTGACAACTCTTTGTGCGATCCACAAATTGTTGTACTGAGTCTGGGTGTTATTTGTGTCCGTTTGACGAATGTTTGTAAATTCCCCCGCTACACAGGATAAATTCCTAGTCCGGGAGTGGTCTTTAAATAAAAAAGAAAAATAAGAAGGAATGCTGAAATGAGCGTGTATTGACGTATTACAATGATAAAATTGATCAGTTTGGATCCATTAAAATCACGATTTTAAGTTATTGTGATACAGTGTAGATATTACAAAATGTCACAGAACGTAAAAACTGTATTGAGTATTACCCGTATAGAATCGCTGATCCACTCATCCGGATATTTACAACGACGTTGTTCGGTCCGTAAACCCTTAACGCTTGGAGATGCCTGAATCTCCACCACCTATAGAAAAACAGTTTTGATTTGAGGAGGACAGGACAGGATTTGAAAAAACAAGAAATTATAGAGAAAAATATCGTAGCTCCTTTTTATTTATGTGAGAGGGGCAGACGACCAGACGGCTCATCTGATGGAAAGTGACTATCGCCGCTATCGTGACTATGAACGTCTGCAACTCAGCGTTGTCGGCCTTTTAGGAAGGAGTGCTTAGCGTGCGTTAGCTCTTTTCTTGAAGGTTTGAATTAGTGTTGACGTGTCACCTTTTGCAACCGCTAATAATAATGGAGAAATAGCAGCTACCTTGTAATCAATGACGAGCTCCTCACCAGGTAGAACTTCTCCAGTTGGATTAGAAATAGCTGTTGAGATCTCATATGGAGAGTGCACGAAGTACTGAAAACAAGCAATAATTTTTGCAATCCAAGGATTTTTTAAGCAATTATTTTAATTTATATAATTAGAAATTGATATGAATAGGTCCGGAACAGTATTCTCTCAGAGTAAATTTTTCGTTAACAAAACATTTTCAGATAAGAGCAAGAATCCCTTCAAATTTATTTTCTACCGGAAAAATATAATAAACTGGCTATTCCATGCCACACTTTACTGTGGTTGCGTTAATAATAAATGAGGAAAGAGAAGGAAGTATTTGAAGCGTATTTAAACCAAATTATCTATAGATTAAAGGTCCGCAGATAAATATCACTCAAGTGTCAGCTAGAAACCCTGACTTAGAAGTAGAATCTTAAGTTGAAAAGACAGCATTCAAACATCTACGACGTACAAGTGCTGAGACTAATAACCACAATACCAATGATCATGCTTCTACTTCCACTTGTCTTGTGGAAGGTGCATGAGCAGCAGCAGAGTTTTCCATGCTATACCATGCATCGGTCTTCAGCTGCTAAGGCTAAACCCTTGCAAGACTCAGTAGACCATTGAAAGCACCTGTTGTCAAACCACAAGCTTAACAACTACCTAAAATATTAAACAGATTTGTGAGTGATCCTCTTGTGGTGGTATTCTTACCCTGACGGCAGTACTCTGCGAGTCTACCCTGACGTAGCATTGTCCACTGTGATAATGGCACTGCAAAAGAGGCTGCGGTATCCATTTCATGTCCTGGCGCATGTACTGGAATTCTGCATAAAGTGAGTTAAAAGTCAGACACATCCCAACTTCGGTCATAACTGGATGCCAGATAACCTGTAAAAAGTATTAAGCTGAGTACCATGCAGTGACCTGTCTTTAATCAAGAAGATCACAGAAGAAGAATATAAGTAACAACATACAATTGTAGACTAAAAAAATTTACTCAGAGCCGACAATAATCTTGACTGTAAGACCCTTTATCATTGAACAAGGGATTACTGTCTACTGCATCTGGGATGGGATATGATGGTTATGTAGGTCTCGAACCGACCAAAAACCTCACGCCGTCTCGGGTACCAGTTGTCAGGGAACCAGATGTACCCTAGAAAGGAAATCCCTGGTACCCTGACGTACCTCAGGCCATCTACGGCGTGTAGATGACCCTCTATTTAGGCGCAACATGAGTTAACATGACTGCTGTAGAGTAGATGCAAGGTTTTGTAGCAGGATTTTCTAAGCCTAATTTACCTGCACTACTTTTTTTATGTAAGAGGAGTCAAACGAGCAGACGGGTCACCTGATGGAAAGTGACTACCGCCGCCCATGTTCGCCTCCAACTTAGGAGTCATAACCGCGTTACCGGCCCTTTGAAGAATCGGTCCGGAAATCCCGCAGACGATAACTTGTTCCACAGATTGGTTGTGTGAGTAATTATCCAATTACTTTCTTTCTTTCTAAAAATACTTACATTAGCTTCTTTCTGAGACAGAGTCACGTCCAGCGTCCAATTCGGATGTACAGCTAACGCAAGTTCTAGTAAGTTAAGGTCTTTAACTGTATCATCAGCTTGATACTTCCAGAAGTTCTGCAAATTTTCCCGGAAAGAGACATCGGCAACGAGCTCGATGAAATCCATGTAGTACTGAAATCGTACGGCGTCCGATTCTTGAGACACATTCCAGGTGCTGTTGGTTGAGATAAGTAGGTAACTAATAATAATAGTAACTTCACACATCTCACACTCGGCCGTCTGATCCCAAACTAGGCAAAGCCTGTACTATGGTAACCTGCCTGTTGATAAACATACTTACATATTTCTAAATACATACATATTATAGATTAATTACACCCAGACACAGAACAAATGATCGTGCTCATCACACTATAATCATCCTGGGTGGGAATGGAACCCACGTCTTTCAGCTTAGCAGTCAGAGTCACTAACCACTAGACCAACAAGTCGTCAACTGTATGTAAAATTCAAATCAGTATATAAAATTTTATAACCGTGCAAGAGTCAAGCTTCATCACAAATGGACCGGCTTAACATGAGTGAACAAGGCTTCACAGAAAACTGAGTGAGTGATATTCCCGGCGACTAAATTCCCCCCCCCCCCCCCCCCATTGTGATTTTATTCCAACCCTACTCCTACTACTTGAAAAATACAACTCCCGCATTAAGAATATATCCTGTGTCGCGGGAGGACTTTACAAACATATACTAAACGTCCCATGTGGGGATCGAACCCGCAATACTCAGCGTAGTAGTAAGCGGCGTGGCGACCGCTTAAACCACAACGCTATCCGTACAGTCAATTCATCATTCATCACAATTCGTCATTCCATCCCTACTGCAGGAGACTCAAAGAGATAGAGGGGGCAGACGAACCGACGGGTCACCTGATGGAAAGTGACCATTGCCGCCCATGAACCACTGCAACTCGTTAGTCACAAACGCGTTGCCGGTCTTTTAGGAAGGAGTAGACTCTTTTTTTGAAGGTCGTATCGGTCCGGAAATACCGCAGATGATAACCCGTTCCACAGATTGGTTGTGCGGGGCAAAAAGTGACTCGAAAAGCGCACAGTAGTGGAGCGCCAACAATCCAGGATCCAGCGCCACATCCTCATCAGGATGAACATCTTGCCGTATGGAACGATAGCGGGAAGTTGCGGCTGGTATTAGTCCGAACAATTCCTCGGAGCACTGTCCATGCGATAGAGAATGCACAGTGAAGTCACATCTCTACGTAACGCCAAGTGATCGAGCCGATTGGAGATGTTTGGGCTATCGACGATTCGAGTCGCTCTTCGCATTTAAGACTCAACGAGTTACAGGCGCCCATGTGAGGCGGTGGTTACTTACCAACACTAGCCGTCTGCTGCCACCCATTCCATATACAATTTATACTTTTATTTTAAATTCTCAAACTACCCGGGTAACGATGATTCGTTTACGGTTACGACGAGTAGATTCAAATGTACCCTAAAGTAGCTAACCTACGATTAAAAAGAAAATTCAAACTTATATTTTAAACGTGAAAATTAGTTTGTTTGTTTGTTACGCTTTCACGCCTCAGTTACTAAACCGATTTTATTTATTTTCATTTATTGAATCTTCCTGCAAACATATTGCATAAGGCGGACTTAATGCTTCAGGCATTTTCTTCCAGTCAAACCTTTGGGTGTTGCAAAGCTGTGTGTTGCAGGTGTATATTTGGGACAGGTAAAGATGAGACTGAATGAAGCCATGTTACAATGGCAGAAAAGAAAAAAAAACCTACAGATATATAAGTACTAGGTATACATACATATAGTTTATACATATAAATATCAAAATATATATAATACGAAGATAATAAATATACTCTTAAGGTATTCTGATGACTCCGTCAACAAGTCTCTATAGAGCTTCCGTACTTTAAGCTTAAAAGTGTATCGGTTAGTGGACATTCTTTCACCAATAGAAAGCTATATTATCAACGAGTAACATAGGCTTTTATTATTACATTGAAAAGAAAAGGCTGATAAGAAAAGAAGGTAACAAAAGGCTGAATGCTAAACAATATCTTGAACTAGTCGAAGTCACTCCAATAACTGACAGAGGCTCTTGGATGGATGTCTCTTCAAAATTCTATCTTGATTTCTGTATTCCAATTACTTACCTCTCGATGACGTATCTTGCCTTTTCCGGTTCCACCCTGTCTATAAAACAAGCTGTAACCGCCGGGAAAGTTGTCCACCAGCTTCGGTAGTCCCTTTCTAGGGAAACTACTACAGGTTCCGAATTGTACCTGGAGGTATATCAGAAATATCAATAACATAAAAATCTAAACTAAAAAGACTAAATCGATAGAAATCATGACTTTTGTCCGAGGACAGGGGAATTTATTGGTAACAAGCTTTTCTAAAATTATTTTTTGAATAAAACTACAAAAATGTGTCAGTTTTGTGACTTATCTACCTTATATTAATATGTATGTAAATAAATGTTTAGTTGGTTAGTATGTGTTGTTAATGCGCTTCAAATACCCAAAAACTTCTGCATCGGTTGAGCTTAAATAACACGATAGCCGCTTGAAAGATTGTTTTTAATATATTTTTTGCCTCACAATATGTCAAAATGTGACACAGCAAACCGTGGTTGGGTACAGCACACGAAGCAAATCCGTGGTACAGCTAGTAAAAAATGATTTTGTATATGTACGGAATCAAGTGATATAAAACAGACCCCTCGAATTTATGCGCACTTTTTAATGCATCAAAATACTCTGTTTACACAGAATAAGGACCCCTTTTTGTGTAGTATGTGACGGAACATGACGGGCCTGTTGGTCTAGTGGTTAGTGACCCTAAATGCTAAACCGAAGGTCGTGGGTTTGATTCCATCTGAGGACAAATAATTGTGTGATGAGCACAATCATTTTTGTTCTATTCATAGATTTTCATATATTTAGGTATGTTTATCATCAGTCTGGTTAAAATAGTACAAGCTTTGCCTGGTTTGGGATCAGACGGCCGTGTGCAAGATGTGTCAAGTTATTATCAGAATTATTATGAAACGAAAATACCCAGTGAAAATATCGAAATCGTGCTAGTAGTTAAAAGACCTTCTATTTTAGAGATTTGGGGGGGCATAGAGAGCATGATTGCGGAACTCCGCATATTTATTTCACTTTCTATTGTTTTCATTTTTTGGTTAAGAACACGGGTTGTCACCACCTATATTCATCCCGTGGGTGTAGTAAGAGCCGACTAAGGGAGAAAACTACGCAGAACAACAGCACTGCAGAGAGAAGGAAAACTTGACAGAAACCCTATACCACCCGTCTGGCCAGCGTGGTGTAGTAGGCTAAAACCTCCTTTCTAAGGAGAGGCTTATGTCCAGCAGTGGACTATTAAAGGCTGGTAATGATGATGATGATGATGAAGACTTGTACCTGTAATATTGGCTGAGGGCACAGTACACGGCGCCCGCAAATGCATTGACCGTGAGAAGGAACCAGAGGATCCTAAAAGAAAATATTTACTATAGTTGGTTTATTTCTGGACGTCTATCCGGTAGGTTTGAAACATCGAAATAATTGTGTAGAAATCTATACAAATAAATAAAATCGGAGTGTCTGTTTGTAATATTAAAATAACCGTACATATGCCAAAATAACATTTTTTACAATTTTTGTCTGTCTGTTTGTTCCGGGTAATCTCTGGAACGGCTGGAATGATTTCGACCGGACTTTCACTATCAGATAGCTGATGACATAAGGAGTAACTTAGGCTACTTTTTTTAGACTAGCTTCGCCCCGCGGCGTTACCCGCGGTTATAACAACAAACACCGGTAACACCGGTAACACGGGTAACACCGCGGGTCTCAGCTTGTAATGAATATAAAAGGATAGCTAGGAAAAATAAATTGTTGTACAATTAATCTAATATTTACTTATTTACGTGTATTTATTACAATGTATACCACATTGTTCGGCTATCTTAGAAGGTTAACCTCCTACAATGTTGGACTTACTAAAGTCATGAAAGTGAATATATATACTAAAAATGTATTAATGTGTTTAGTCGTCGCGGGACGTTTGCTAGATGTGAACAGATTTTTTTTTGAAGAAATAATTAGTATAAATAGATGACTAGGAAAAATTAAATTGTAATCCCTAGATACTAATATTATAAATGTGTCCATCTGTCTGTTACGCTTTCACGACTTAACCGCTAAACCGATTTTAATTAATTTTGGTATGGAGATACTTTAATTATTGAGAAAGGACAGTGGCTTTTTAAGGCGATAACTGATGTACACGCGGACGGAACCGTGGGCAAAAACTAGTATAATATAAGTAATGTAAACGGGACGTCTGGCAGATCTGAACAGAAAATATTTTATAGAAATAGTTAGTATACAAGGATAGCTTATGAACGGTAATAATAAATATAGTACAAAAGATACAATTTTCAGTATGAATGAAAAAGAATCGCGGTACATTTTTCATTGCATTACATAATTATTACACGTAACGTGGCAGTATACTATCACACAGTCTGGCTACGCTTCCCCAAGCATTAGATGTATCACCTCAAAAGCCAAGACTAAATTAACATTAGATACTTTTATTTGAATAATTCCACATTTTCCTGTAAAATAAAGAAAATCAGTAAAGAGATACATCAATGCATTAAAATTCATAACATCGACAATAAAAAAAACATATAATACTCAATGACAAAAAGAAAAAAAAACAATATTTCAATTAAAGAACACGTCAAATTAGCAGGAGACGATAACTTTGGCCATAAAAAATATGGATATCAATTTAAATTTTAAGTAAATTGTTGGTTATTTTTCTGTATTACCTCTCACACCAGTGAAGTTTTCTTTCAACAGTATGTTTTAAACCATGTAGCGTAGTTTCTTGACAAAATCTTGAGTAGACTCTGTATACTGGGGCAATGGATTCTGCGATCACGTCAATCAAAGACTTCATTCGAGTCAGGCAAATCAATATTGCTGTAAGTGAGCCTTGTTTCTTCTTTTGCTTTGATATTTTCATCTTTTCAATATTAAAATGTTAGGTAGCTACTTTGAAAAGAAGAAAAGTATAAAATTATTTTTTTCTTTATGACAACACAGCACGTAGGTCTATGAAAGTGAGCCCAAAGATTATATTATATTAAAAAAAGTTATTTGATAGGCTAAGTAGGAACTAAAACTTTACCTATTAATTGAAGAATTTCAAGCACAGGCTATATAGTTTTGGGATGGTCGCATTAAAAGTACTTAATATCAATATTGAATAATGCGGATAATTCACCATAATAGTTATGATAAAACTTAAACGAACTGCAGTTTTTCTATTTAAAATACAGTAGGACTGTTTCGTCTGCTGATAAGAAGTATTTAAAACCAGTACCAAAAATGTACCTATGTAAATATCTGTGGCAGGTAGCAAGACATATTCTTTTGTACACTTCACCATAGATGCACTTCGGTAATTAAGTTCCTAATCACACGCAATACTTTTTATTTTCAAATATTAGTATTCCTATAGCACTAGTTAATTACAATTATGGAAATTAATCGCAAGATCACCTAATAGCAATAATGTACGTAAATTGTTATGTAAACAAATTCTTTGGATAGAACATCTAAAGTTTATTTTTGATTAATTTTTTATAATATATATCTATTTCCACATAGAACAAAAATAGCTAATCCGCAGCAACTAATTAAAGTGAAAAAAATCCAGAACTCTCGAAGGTGTTTATGTCCGATTTGATTTAATCTAAAGTGAAGACCTTAGGAAAAAAAAAAACAGTAGAAGGAGCTTTGAGTTCTTTTTTTTTTAAGTTTTTGAACGGAACGGAGAACAGTGGAGTTGAGTTGGCAGTCAACAAAATTGAACTGAAAATCTCCTTGTCCCCAGACACAAATGTGTGGTTAAATAATTGCCATTATTATAATGGCCATTACCTAGTGAATTAAATAATTTTGGGCGCGTATAACGTTTCTTTCCATAATTGCCTTCGATGTACAATAATATAATTTATCTATTGTCATAATGCTTTTTAGATTTATCTACCTATCTATTAATGTAATAAAGCCAAGTTAGTAAAAATTGCTCTTCTTTTAATTGAAATTTGGCTACTACTCCATTACCTACGATAAATATGTTTAAAAATAGTAGGTATCATAGACTTCAATGTAATTTGTTCTAATTTGTGAAAGACCAAACAGGTAGTAAGCATAAACTACCAAATAAAATATAAGTTTAAAAATCCCTGTCAGAATGAGACGCCGCACCTAACTAGGCCCTATCCCAGGGGAAGCCAGAGGCTTCCCCCTGCCTATTAGCCTATCACGAAATGCTGCGGCCTGATCACATTTTTAGTAGTAGGTTTTAGGAGGCCTACTATACCTCGCTGGCCAGATGGGTTGGTATAGGGTTGGTGTCATTTTTTCCTTCTCTTTACAGAGCTGTTGTCCTGCGTAGTTTGCTCCCTTAGTCGGCTCTTCCGACACCCACGGGATGAGTAGGTGTGGTGACACTTCGTATTCTTAATCCGTCCCCTCTCTGACTGATGACTGAAATAATATATACAGTTCAGAGTATAAATCGTGGTTATTTTTGTTCAAAAGATACTTCACAGTATACCTAAACAACTTTTAGCCGAATCAAAAAATAGAAGCTTCTCAATGCGACTACGTTTTTTTGTATGATTGTTACCTTAGAACGACGTCATTTGTTTTAACAAACCGATTTGGGAAATTTTGTTTTACCCCATTTGGTCTTATTAAATTTTAAAGAAAAATTTCACCCAAGGGTGCAAATTAAGGAATGAAGAATATAGTTTAATTACAATTCAACACGATGTAGGCACACTGAACACGGTGTACTTATTTTTAAGATTAAATTATTTAACTTATTTAAGAATAAAGAGGTAAAGTTTGTGTGTTTGTATGTTCGGGGTAATCTCAGGAACTACTGGTTCGATTTGAAAAATTCTTTTAGTGTGGGATAGCCCTTTTATTGAGAAAGGATATAGGCTATATAACATCATGCTACGACCAATAGGAGCCAAGTATCAATGAAAAATGTGGCGTAAACGGGCAAAATTTATTCCTTTTGAAAGAAGGCGACGTTGTTGTGCCGATATATTTCTATAGAGATATTTCTTTCTTTGATTAATTCCTTTTATTTATTAATGGAATAACTTACTGTGGCCTGTATTTGTTAAAGACTAGCTGAGACTTGGTGTTACCCACGTTTTTTGTTATAACCCCAAGCAACGCCGCGGGGCGAAGCTAGTCTAAAGAAAGTAGCCTAAGTTACTCCTTATGTCATCAGCTATCTGCCAGTGAAAGTCCCGTCGAAATCGGTCCAGCTGTTCCAGAGATTACCCGGAACAAACAGACAGACAGACAGACAAAAATTGTAAAAAATGTTATTTTGGCATATGTACCGTGTAAACATACATATGCATTTAGTAAAAAGCGGTTATTTTAATATTACAAACAGACACTCCAATTTTATTTATTTGTATAGATGGAAGGAGATAAAAGTTATCTAATTCATATAAAAAGACGTCCTAAATGCCTGACTGATTTATCAACGCAGAACCTAAACCGCTGGGTCTACAAACTTGATATTTTAGCAGCTGATGCTTGTTTTGTTTTAAGCACGCACTAAGAAAGGATGTTTTGGTACTTTTTGCCCCTAAGGGCGTAAATAAGGGACGAACTGTTGTGCAAAGGGTTATTTTCAAGGTTAGAAATACGAAATAAGAAATAATCGTGAAAGCGAACCCGTTGGAAATAGCTAGTATTTTATATGGATTCTTAAACTCGCTGCAAAAATTGATGATATAATCTCTCTATTCAGCTGGCTGGTCTTCTGACTTTGGTCTACTTGCTGTACCAGTTTTGGAGCACGATGGTCCGCAGCAAGAGAAATGGGGCTGTTCCATTGCGACTGTCGAGATCTCCGTCACGATCCAGGTATTAAGTCCTCACCTAATCATAACTTAATTCTTTTAACTTTAACTTGTTGTATAAAAGATTTTAAGTTGAAAATTCTGTTACTTACTTTTCCGTTTATCCTAGAGAAAGCTAACGTTTTCCCAAAATAAAAAGTATCCCAAGTATTTCTCTAGGTTAAAAACTACCCGTGTCCTAAATTCGATGCTTCTTTCATGAGATAGAAAATCTTCTTTTGGGTCCGTCTCTATTTTAATGAATCAGAAAAAAGTCAAAAGATCTCGTGTCTTCCTCCTGAAATGCTCTCAGAATCTAAGAAAAGCTAGTATTTTAACTTTTTCATTAGATATAGCCTAAGAAGATATATATAACCTAAGAATTTCGACCTAAATTGACATAAATAACATTATAAAGATATGGTTTGCTTAAACCATTTAATGGTATCTGATTTAAGTAATAAATAAGTTTCCGAACGGCTATCTTTCTTCACGCTAAAAGGGCTGTCATTTTTTTTATTTGAAACTTAACGCAAATGTTGTACAAAGGCGGACTTAGTGTCATGGAGGATTCTCTCCCAGTCAACCTTCAGGTGGTGTAGAAATATGATGCGGTGGGTACAAAAATAAAATAGGTATTTGACACAGTTAATAAAATTGAATAACATTGGATATACTAATATATAAAAAATCACTGCTGCTGAACTGCTGGTAGTCATTCAGACAGCAGAAAAAGATTGTCGATTTGTATTTCATACATTCTGTAATATGTATTAAAAAAATAAAAACAGAATCACCAATGAGATTTATTCAATTTATTTCTGGAATGCCCGCATAAGCACTCCCAGAATAGTAAAAGAAAGAGAAGAAGGTTCTCGTTAGTCTACTTCTTACAGTGTCACTGTCACCCTGATTATTTCTGCTCACGCTATCGTTTTAGGTCCAACGCAGACTGCAGGTCACGACATGACCACAAAAATTTAGATGTCAAACGCCGTGGTCGAAAATCCCATCGAAAATGTCCCGATTGCAGCGAATGCAATCTGGAATTTTAAACAGATGCTGAAAAGGAATGGCGCGTCTTTTATGCTCCAGTTTTGACAAGTTGACATTTCAAACTGCTCAAGTATTTTTCTCAAGAAATTTATAATGTTTTGGGTCAATCATGTTTTATTTTTATAATAATAAATGGCTGAAAGTAAACGTGTTTTAGTATTTGATGTAAGAGAAAATAATAGTGTCTTCGTAATAGCAATAGAGGACAATCCACCTTCAATCTGACGGCCAACTCTAGCACCTCACGCGCTATTTTGTCAAATCCATAGAAATATAAGAATAGAGCAAGTTTGAAATGAAATGAAATGATACTTTAATTGCAGAAATATGGGACATAGGCTGTTTATAGTTATTAGAAGAGAATCACATATTTCGTCAGTCTGTTCCGACATGCAAAATTTTAAAAGCTTAAAGCGTGATGCTATGTGTATGAGAAAAAGCTACCGAGAGGCCCCCTCTTCTCTTTCCAATCCATAAAGAGCACTGCACTGCGCATTCTCGCCTGATTAAAAAAGAAAACAAGAGGGGGCCTCTCGGCAGCTTTCTCGTACCTGGCATCACTGGAAAGTACAGGGCTAGGTGGAGATAGCTTGCTCTATTCTTATATCTCAATGATCAAACCACATAATAATATTATTTATTTGACAAGGTACTTATTGTTAACTTCACGTATTGATGTCGATGTCAGCTTGTACATCGGTTAATGACGTATTAAACCTTGGTATTAGTTACTATTTTAGCCCTTTTACTTTGTAACTAGTTTTTGATGAAGAAAGTAGTCTAATGTTTTAAAACATCACAATAAAAGCAATCATAGTGGACTATGGATGCATTTTGCCCATAAATTGTCAGATCGCAATTGGTCCAGTTCGTAATATTGGTCCAATTCGGAATTGGTTCAGTTCGCAATCAGGGGCGTCCTTGATTAGGGGAGGTATTTTTGACAACCACGTGGTGAGATTAGATTCAAAGTAAACAAACATATCATCAACAGCCTTCACTAGTCCACTGCTGGACATAGGACTCTTCTTAGACAGGAGGTTTTGGCCTACTATACCACGCTGGCCAGACGGGTTGGTCTAGGGTTTCTGTCAAGTTTTTCTTCTTTCTGCAGTGATGTTGTCTCCCTTGAGCAAACTACGCAGGATTCATCCCGTGAGTGTCGTAAGAGACGACTAAGGATTAGCGACGACGACGACGACGACGAAGCCTCTTACGACACCCACAGGATGAATAGGGATAGTGACACTCTGTATTCTTAATCCATCACCACACGTCAACATACATGTAGCTAACGGAATTGCTATGACTACTACAATTTGAATTGGTTCAGGCACTCACCGGCACTGTGGCATACCTATCCATGATAGATTCTCCAGATCCCAAGATTTTTTGTGGGATCATGTGCTAGAGGTCGAACAAGCAAAAAGCCTAAGCCCGCAAAAAGTCAAACATGTACTAAGTTTAATACGCACAGTTAAAGAAGGCAATAAAATCAGAAACACCGTTATGAATAAATTTTACACTACAACTTAAATATATATAAGGTAGAATTACCACCATCGTACTTTTATTAACTTGCCGATAGTGAATAATCTAATGATAAATCACATCTAACAATTTTAAAAGGCTTCGTATAATAATGTTGGGCCATAGGATTAAAAGATTCGATTGTTCCAGAAATGTATGGAATGTAGAAGATAGCGCTGTCTAGTATCGAGTAAATTACAACTATTGAGATTATGATTAAAGCGCTAGATGGCGCTGCAAGTAACGCCTAACTGATACTGGAATATTCTTATTTGTCTGAAACGGACTATCGAATGCTAGGGATCATTCTAGTAAATTCGATAACGCTTCTTGACAATATACGTGTACTGACAATTTGTGTGTTTGACATTTTGCGAAAACTTCCTTTGGCAAAATATCAAATGCGCTTAGACATGAAAGATATGAACGTCATAAATAAAACATATAATTTTAAAAACTAAAAAACACGTAACTAGCTGAAATAATTTTCTATAAGTTCAAAAAGAAAAATGATTTTATCTTAAAAATGTGTGGGGTGCTAGATCTTAATTGTTGTAAAAATATTTTATTGAGAAGCATTAGTAAAAATATTCAAAACTCAAGATCAAGATTATCAGCATTACGTATTGTTTAAGACAGCACATTTGCATTGAAATATGACTTGTAAAAATATAGATTATGTCAGTCATTATAGTTTAGGATATATAAAAAAATATTTTATAAAAACAATGTCTATTTAGGAAATGTTATCCTATCTGTTATTATGATGGAGCAATAACAGAAGCTCATATCAAGTTGTCAAAAATGTCATCCAATTTTGACGTTTATTAATGGCTGTTGTTGAAACCGCTTTTTGTTTTTCTATTTTATAGTTTTTATTTAAATTATATTTACATTGAGGAGTTCACTATTCAATTCAGAACTCAAACATGGATGGTGATACTTCAGATCATGTTGAGTTAATTGAATCTAAAGATGATAACGATTCAGAAAGTAAGTAATAAATTTATAAAATATATTTTTTAAATTATATTTGTTATAATAAATTGTATCATTTGTATAGTAAATAAGATTGTGAGGTGAATATTATCATCACTTAATAGTGATCTTGTGACTTAATAGTGATAATCACCTCACAATCTAAGTAAATAGTTTTTCATTATCCATAGACCAAAATATTTCTATTGTTTTTGCTGTTAAAAAAATTAAATGTTACAAATAAAAGTTATCTCTTATGATTTCTACATATTTATATTCGGATTTTTAAATTGAGAATGCAAATTGCTCAATAGAATAATTTATCTGCATTTATTTAATAAAATTATTATATTGATAACAACTGAAATCTATCTAAAATCTTAATGCAACTTTAAACTATTAACATAAATTGATGAGATACAAACAAAAACACCTCATAGAATTGATTAATGGGTGTTTTTGTCTAACAGATAATGATCCTGAATGTTGAAGAAAACGTTTAGTGGAAATGTAGTGTGGGCTATTTTTTATTTTTTTATTTTTTCTATTTTCTCTTTAAAATATATTCCATCTTTTCCTTTTCTGTTATTTCTTTTAAGTTGATTGCCTTGGTGGAGTAGTGGTAGCGTATGCGACTGCTGAACTGAGGTCTCGGGGTTCGATTCCCGGGTTGGACCAAATGTTTGTATTATCTGCAAATATTTGTTTCGAAGTTTGGGTGTTTTCTATGTGTAATATATATGTATTTACAAAATTAAGTAAATAAGTATTCTTAGTATATATTATAAACTAGATGGCGTTGTGTGTCAGATGTCCGAAATATTATAAAGTCCTGAATCCAACAGTCGAAAACAATGTTGTAGTGGCGTAGATGGCGTAGTGGTTTAAGTGGTCGTCACGCCGCTCTGAGTGTTGTGGGTTCAGGTTATAGTATAAGCCAGTCCTATTTATATAACGAGTGTGCTAAGGGTAATCACAAAAAATGAAATAACAGATAACATGGTTATCTATTATTTTATAATCAATATACGTCAGATAAAATAAAATAATAATTAGTACGAAAGTACAGAAATGCAAATGCAAATTTAGAACGAAATGAATACAATAAAATAATTGCCGAATTAGAACAACATTTGGTAACATGTGTCGCTGAACTGTAGACGAAAGAGTCGACATCATACATAATAGTGTTGAAAACCGGTGTTAAGCAATTCTTTCGTTGTCTTTCACATAGTGAGTGAGGTTACCGGAGCCCAAATCCCCCCTCCCGCTGACTCAAGCGGGAGGGAGGCACTCCAAGGGCAGCAACGCACTTGTGACTTTTGAGTTGCAGGTGTCCATGGGCGGCGGTAGTTGCTAACCATCAAATCATAAAAAAAAAAGCCGCGACGAGCCGGAACTTTACATTCTTATTACGTACCTACTAATCACTTGCTTTTTAAAATCAATTTATTAAAAATACGATTTTATTCATGTGTTTATTTCGTAAATGCTCGACTAGCTTCGGACCCGTGTCACTCCTTGAAAAAGTAGGTACTTTGGTTGTCTCATAATCTTTGTACCGTCCTTACATAAATTCAGCAGTCTGTAGGACATACATAATTGATTACATACCTCGGTTTCCGCGGCTGTGAAGGTCACTCATACTCAACCCAATAAAATTAAAAGATTGATAATGCACTCAGTTTCACACACACTACACTACACACACACAAACTAATATTCTTACTTTTCAAAATAAAATTAGCGGGACTCGTCACAACACTAAGTCACGGTACAATTATAATACAGTATTGTAACTCGGCCGCATGATAGAAATAAATGCCTACAGCCGCGCGGTACGTAAACATGCGTTAGGGCTGCCCGTCTCCAGCATTTTAATTATATTTGCCTACTTTCTGTTTCTATTTAGATTTGTGATTGTAAATATCCTTTTTATATAAATAAATGAAATACTTTGTATATTGAATAGGAATTGTTCAATAAAAATGCGTGTTGTTTTTTGATTGGTAGATTTAATTAAAAAACATTTTTTTGTTTGAAAAACCAATCGGGCTTATAAATTAGCGACCGAAAAAAATCCTTCTATAAAATAAAATAAATGTGCTTTCTCCATACGCGTTACAAAACTCCAATCCTTAGAAACTCCAACACCTACCACCTACTCAACTAGAATGCAAGAAACAGCTGACGAGTAAGTAACTTTTTATCTCAGCTAATTAACGTCTCTATAAATTACCTAACCTATAACCTACAACTCGCAACAACTCAACTCAAAACAAAAATTCTTTGGTCACCAATTAATTAATTATTAAAAAGCTGAACAGCTGACTACGAATGTTTTAAAATCAGAACCCTCAAACATCTAAATATTATATATGAGTCTAGCTGTTGTTGTTAATACCGAGAAAATAAAACCAGTTTTTAGTGGTATATGTTGTTATAGTAGCAGCAGAAACACTTTGTGAAAATTTCGAAAACTGTCTAATGACACACAGACGGTAACAAATTTTTTTTAGTATTATTCATACACACAGATAATAAAGATATATTATTAATAATAAAATACCACGTCTTTAAGTAGAATTTTCTTTTTTTTGAATTATGCAAAGTAACAAAACAAACATGCACCGAAGTTTTAACACAAGCGTAAGTAGGTAGGTACCTACCGTATCATGATTCATTCAGAACCGCATGTAACTCCCTATTTCACTCGTCTCAATAACTTTCCGTTACTCTATTTGCTTTATTTATTCATCCAAACACCTTTTTTTTCCTGAGATAAAAGGAAATACTTATCCATTAAAAAGACACACATTATGTACCTACGTACTAGTAAGTAAAATTATTTTATAGTCTTACTTTTCAGAGTTTCCAGGTAATTTAAAAAAACTTATGTCTGGATGCGTTATTGACGAATTCATACAACCAAAAACAGCACAATATTTCCTACTCGTCATATTAACTGATTTTTAGAGAAAAAATCGCGCGGTTATTGTTAAAAAAAAACACGCAGTCCGTTCGACACTGCGGTACAGCCGTGACTGTCTGCGCCCCGAGCGCACCCCGAGATCGAGGCGCGTAGGTATAGCTCCCGTTTCGTCCGTTTGTATGAAGTTGCAGTACTGTATTATAATAGTACCGTGACTAAGTCTTGCGCACACGATAACATTAATTGTTCACACCATTGCCTTGTATTATGACGTAAGCAATAAGACTAAACAATTATTAACACGACAAAACTTTTCTAAACAAATATCTCACGAACAACAACAATATTATTATTACGATAATTTGTCGTGATTTGATTGTCACTTCGTCCCATTCAAATTGGAACAGGATGGAAACCTAAAGAATGAACATCAGATCAACATCATCACACATGTGCTGAAGTCTATTTCCAATTACTCCTTAATTTATTCTAGCCAATTCATTAGAAATAACCTTCATTATAATGAGTTTTAACAAAGTGTAATAGTCATCCCGTGATGTGTGACGTAAGAGCCGACTAAGGAATCAAACTCTGCAGGATAACAGCATTGTAAAGAGAAGGAAGACTTGAAACAAAACCTTATACCAACCCATCTGGCCAACGTAGTATACGAGGCCAAATCTCCTTTCTAAGGAGAGGCTTATGTCCAACAATAGACTTTTAAGGACTGTTGGTGATGATGATGATTAGCAACAAGTACCACTACAGGAAAGTACTAAACAAAGGGAACACACTCAAATTGACAATGCTACGAACTAAATTAACATGCTACCAGAATAACCATTGCTATCACGATAACGCTATAACCTTAATTTCCAAGCTAATTAACAATGACAACTAACAATTTGCTTTATCGGTTTCAGCAAACGCAATATGTTTTCCTGCTGAGATCAACGCTGATGGTTAAATACTTTTATTGTTACTGTTTTTGCATGAATTATGTAGACCTTGGATACATTTACAGCCTGTTCTGCTTTGTCTAGATCTTTATTCCTTAATTCTTTTATGTAGCACCTTTATGTCTAATCCATAATCCATACTAATATTCCATATTAATGTCTGCCTGTTACCTCTTCACGCATAAACCGCTAAACCGCTTTAGATGAAATTTATTACAGAGCTAGTCCGAGTCCCAGAAAAGGACGTAGGGTAGTTTTTATCCCAGAAATCATATTTTAAGGGGCTGAAAAGCGGGGGGGGGGCGAGTTTCTATGGGGAATCAAGAACTGCTGAACCGATTTGTAGATAAGATACTTGACCGCTATGAAGACAATTTGATTCTTGAGGAGAGATATATGCTACTTTTTACCGCTACAACCGACATTTATGCGAACCCCGGGCATAAGCTTGTTGACTAATATATCCAAGTACAGAACTGTGTGTTGCAAAATGTTGCTATCTATGAACTGCTTATAGTATAGTATAGTATTAGTTTGCGCTTAACGTAAAAAGTCACGTAACTCGAAAAATTAATCGAGATATAAGATTTATTTACCTTTTAAAACTTAATACATTTTGAAGCATATATTTATATTTTCTATTCAGTCAATATACGGCCCGTAGTGCGGTATTACACAATATTTTTGTGGATTGCCCGAATTTTCGATTTTTTCATGTCAATATCGGGGGTAGGCAAGAGTATTGTCAATAATATGGTCGTGTGCGGGCGAGCGGAAATCTTTTAGTAAATAAAATGATTTCAAGGCGGGTGGACGTTCGTGTTATGTTTAAAATGAAGAACGATAACAGTTTCGATAGCGACAATAGGTATTTATTGATATTATTACTCCTACGACAAGCCAATATGTGTCAGTATTCATTAAACCATGGGAAATTTATCCAGAATTATGAAACACATCCTGTAAAGCATATCGCGATAAAGTTTTGAGTAAAAGTGAGCTTGAGAAGTTGCTCGATATTTAAAAATATATAGGAACAAAGAGCATGACAAAGGATGTAAAGAAAAAATTAAATGTGCGACGACAAAATTATCGAAATGAAATAAAGAAAATCCACAAATTTAGGTCCCGTGAACCTGGATAGCAAATAAAAATTCACAACAAATTGGTATTAATGGCAATTGCTGCAACTGAGCTGTTAGGATTATCCATAAATCACCGCTCTAGGAATATATCCCACTAGCTGACCCGCGCAACTTCGTCTGCGTCTCTCAATAGTAATAAATTTTCTCCGTTTTTGAAACATTTTTCATTGGTGCTCCGCTCCTATTGGTCTTAGCGTGATGATATATAGCCTATAGCCTTTCTCGATAAATGGGCTATCTAACACTGAAAGAATTTTTCAATTCGGACCATTAGTTCCTGAGATTAGCGCGTTCAAACAAACAAACTCTTCAGCTTTATAATATTAGTATAGATTCTAAAAAAATTCACCGTCACGTCTGCTATGTTTAATATATCTTTGCTGCAATATTTCAACGTGTAGTGCAGTGGCGTAACACCTGCATGTGGCGTTCGCGGTGGATTTATTGGACCGTTTGTCCCCATCCTCCACCCGCTTAGTCATCAACTACATTTGGATAATCCATACTTATATTATAAATCTAAAAGTGAGATTGTTTGTTTGCAACGCTTCCACGCCTAAACCACTAAACCGATTTTGAAAATTATTTCACCAATGGAATTTTACATTATCACTGAGTAACATAGTACGTAAGTGATCATCTCCATGACGGTGTACGTATAAGTCGGCTAGTGAATGACAATACCCAAAGTTGATACCGTACGATATCAAAAAGGTTACTTGTCAGCAAATTCGTACTATATTAAGTATTGGAATAAGCCAGGCGCAAAACTCGGAATCGGATCGAGCTTTGCACTTAATGCATTCCGCATGATTAAACAGCAGCGCACAAATTACTACAGTACAGAACAGAATTGTAGTACAGAAAGGCATAGAAAAATGAATAGAGAACATTCATTACACAGTACGGATTTATATCGAAATTCGTACTTGAATAGAGTTGATCATGTCTTTGGTCATCAAAGTATAGTATCAGGTCCTCAAAGAGAATAATGTATGATTATACTAAGAATTTATTTTAGAGTATGTGATTCGAATTTATTCTTAAAAATAAAACAACTACGGAATGAAATATTACATAGATGATGTATTTTTTCCTACAACACAAAATTTACATCTCTATGATTCACCCGCGCGAGGTGACGGCTCATTAGTTTTACAGCATCATCATTTTCCTAGCATTGCCCATGTTTTATATATATGCTTAGTTTATTCCAAATTAACATATCTTGAATTCCTTAAGTGCCATATGAACGAGATTAAGGTTGCCCCTCATTAGTGAGTAGGACCAAATCATAATTGGTAGAAAAATTCTGAGACCATCATATACTCCTGCTTACCAATACGTGGATACAGATGTGAGTGTATGTGTTAGTACTCAACAATTTTGTGTGATGTGGTAATATAATTTGTGGCCTTATCATCTCATCACCGCCATAAAAGTTATTAGGTTTATATGCTTTCTAAGTTTTTGAAAATATAATAGCGTATATTATATTTCTTTTCTTATTACAGACCGTCCGATTATGCTTCTATTAAAATATCTTGTACGCAACAAGCAGGTCACGACTTTGACGAATACACATGAATGTATCATTGAAATGCTAAAACTCGAATTTGATATTGATATAAGTAATTGTCATAAAGTTGAATTAGACATATACGTAAAAATAATAAAGAGGTATCTCAAAGTCTGGCCACAGTGGAAAGAATTGGAACATATATCGAGCAAGTTGAGCAACGTGAAAGACTTTGATGCGTTGGCTAAAGTTCTGAATCTCAAATATAAAAATTTGAAAGAGTATTTAGGTGTAATACTCGAAACTGCCAAACCTTTAACAAAGAGGGCTGTTGAACATGTAAAAGAAATGGAAAATAAGGATAAAAATATTGATTCAAGTGAAGTTGTTATGGAGGTACATTGTACGAGGATGCAACTTAATAAGTTGTTCTTCAGGAAACCACGTGCAGATCTCCAGGATTTAATCTTCAATATAAATCCAATTATCCCTTCTAGTTTTTGTCGAACCACATTAACATTTGAATCTATCCTGAATTTCTGGTGGACGAGAATCTATATTGAGTTACCAAACCTTTCTTACTGCCGAGAGCTTATTTATAACTACAAACATACGCTTGTTAACAAAGTAAGAGCTGACAAACCGCCAGCGGAAATTTTAGACACTCGGGTCTACAACAAGGCCAAAGAAGTCAAGGAACTGCCTAAACAATTGATTACTGAGTATTTGGACAAGATCTATTTTTTGAGCAAGGATAAGAACGTAATAAAATTACTAAAAATACTATTTCAAGTTCTGAAAACTGATTTGAAATATTTGCCAGATACTGTGAAAATACCCTCAAGTTACAGAAAACACGCTAACAAATATAATTATGTTCGATACTTATATGTTGAGAATAAAGAAAGTGATGACACCAAGTATGATTTGCAGTTGGAGGAAATTCTAACTCCTTCACATCAAATAGTAATCGGCAAATTCTACACATATCTGAAGAAGGTTCCGCCTATACAAGATTGGCTCAAAATTGAGTGTATGATGTGTAAAGTCAAGTTTTTTGGTTCTACAACGATGATGAGCTTGCTTGAGGCCCATTTTTCTGAGTATCATCAACACGAGCCTGATTGGCAGTGTCCTCATTGTGAAAGAACGTTCAACATTGCTTTTTTATCGAATAATCGGTGGTGTCACGAATGTTAGTTTTACTTGGCAAACTGAAACGAAATATTTAATTAAATCCTAAATGTAAAAAAAGGTAAAAAGGTATCATGTTTATTATACGATCACAATAATAAATGATAAACTAATTGAAGACTTTTCTTTGAAAGCAAACTGGAATAGGCTTAACTTGTCTCTCGTATTTAAGATTCGTGCTCATGCACCTTGACATCATTGTCAAGGTGGCGCTCACTAAAAAACTGGATGCATGTAGAGGAATAGGTGTCATCTCTCGCCAACAGAAAGGTAGGATCCTCCGACCAGGATAGGTGAACATGCCTTTCGGGCGGTTCGGCCCACGGTTGATGTTGGGATGTCGTATATAATATGCTAATTGGCGTGTAAACTTTATGTCGCGATACAGGATTATAAGTTACTCTGTAGTTCGTTGTGTGTTCGTTAGATAGTACTGAATGTTTTTGTTACATTGTGTATGAAAGTCGCCACATAACGTTAAATCGAATACTCCCTCCCTAATTCTGTCGGGAATTGAAGGTTCGTTAGCTCCCAAAATCATAAAAAAAAAACCTTTTTAACCGTGAAGCAGAGCGTGAGTCATAACATCCATTAGTTATAATTCATGCCATTAGTCTTAATGGCTTCTGAAAAGTAAATAATTTTGGGCGTCTATTGTCTATGGACCAGCTAATTCTTTAATGACACATTGTACCATAGTGTAATTTATCTATTGTCATTATGTTTAAAGTTTTTTCTATCTGTCAATGTAATGGTGCCGTGTTCTGCGTTCATAATAATTGCTCCACTTTTTAACTAAATATCGCCCATTAGTACATTATGTAGATACATTCTCCCATAAAGTATTACAAAGAGAAGGAAAACTTTACACACACCCTATACCCACCCGTCTGGCCAGCGTCATATAGTAGGCCAAAACCTCCTTTCTAAGGAGAGGCTTATGTCCAGGAGAGAAGTATTAAGTAGTTTGTAGTTTTAATTAAACGATTACTGGTACTACTTAGACTACTAGTACTATTTAGATTGATAGGCTCAGTACGACCTTAAAACCTTCAAGAAAAGAGCGTACTCCTTCCTCAAAAGCCGGCACGGCTTGTGACTCCTGACTTTCAGGCGTTTAAGGGCGGCGGTGGTCACTTTCCACTTCCACTTTCTTGTTTGCCCCTTTTTTCATAAAAAATAATGGTGAAGGAGGTTAACATTCTCGTTGGTATATTTTGTAATTCTAACAACTTCGTACTTTTAGTTGCAACAGGATGTGAAATAAAACAATAATGCATATGGTATATGTGTCTATGGCATATGTATTTGTTTACTATAACATTGCATGTAATAAAACTCTGTAAGTCGTTCAATGGACACAACGTCGTTGGCGTAAAAACATGACCTGAATTTAAGTTTTAAGTTAACTAGCTCTAATGATATATTAAATTTTTCAAAAATCATCGTTGTTTATATCATCAATATTATCATTGTCCAAATTGTTGTCTTCGCTAGTTGAGTTGGCCAAGGTTATTGGTACCACGTATTGTAAAGGACAGCACACGTACGTCTTGTCACAAGTCCTGTAAAAAATAAATAGACGTGGGTCAGTCCTATTCACGTAAATTAATTTTTATAAATATAATTCCTATTTAGACTGTTTAAAAGCATGGAAAGATCTTCGTTATGCGAACAATGGAGCCATGATTAAAAAAAAAGTTCAACTCAACTTTTGGTTAATTGCTTTGTGGTAGAGTGTAATCACAATTTCGCCAATGTCATGTAATAGAAAGACTAACTGTCAAAGGATTTTATGTAGAGCTGTGGAAAAAAAAGTTCAAAATTGTTATGCCGAGCTGTCAAAAATGTCATTCCATTTTGACGTTAACGGAAAGTTGTAACTAGTAACTAACCGCGTTGTTTTACTATTTAAAATACTTTTTAAATGTTATTTTATTGAAGAAGTCAGAAGTAAATAATTGTATCACTTAAATTAAGACTCAAATATGGAGGACGATACATCAAACGATGTTGAGGCTGTGGAGTTCATTGAATCTCAGGGTGACAACGATTCTGAAAGTAAGTTAATGTTTATTTATTGTCAGTGATAAGATTCGTATAGTTTATATTGTGGTGAATATAATCATAGTTACTGTAACCTATTTAGCTATTTTTTTCAATAGTTATAGCTAGTTGCTGCTATAGAACTATAGTCGAAGTTTATTGTTTTATTGGCTCATTAAAAAACAATACATACTAATAAATATTTGAATATCAACATCTTTGTATGTTCATTGTTAGACTTAATTAAATCTACTTAAAACATAAAAGTACAGTCAACTTCAAAAAGAAGTATAAATGGACAAAGTTTAATTTTAATGTGTACATCTATTTTTCCAAAATATTTCAATAAAAAAAATTCAAAATTTCCAATACCAAGTATGTGGGACTTAAAACTTTGTAAACATATTGGTTTCATAAGTCTGTATATATCTTTATAATTTAAGGACAAGTAACTATGTAGCTTGCCAAAATGATGTACACAGCTAATGTTTAATAATGTAAAAGAGAGAAACTTGTTTTCAATTCAAATTATAAATATATAGTTATATATTTATGCGCTGTACTGGGCACTAAATTGGACCCTTTTATATGTGAATATATTGTTATTAAACCTTAGCTGTAGACATTAATTTGACAGAATAAGTGGTTAGATGTTTTCTACTCTGTTCAGAACATTTTGAATCCGATGTATACACAGAATTTACAAATTACTGTGAGTACTCTGTTTTATCACTATAAACATATGGCAAAATAGATGTAAACATTACGTTACAATTAAAATAGAACATTGTTGTGAACTTTCAAAATCTTATTATAATAGAACTTTGTTCATGTATACTTCTTTTTGAGGCTGACTGTACAAACCAGAAATCACCAGGCTGTTGATTTTAGACCATAATTAATTAAATTTGATTTTTTCTGGTTATTGTATAGAGTTATGTACACACACACACATAGCTAGTTGCTTGCATAGTTGGTCATAGCTTGATGTTATACAGCCTTTAAATATATTCCTCGATTAATCAGTAGTTCCTGAGATTAGCGATTAGATTATTCAATCAAACAATGAGCAAAGCAATTCCCAATAGAAAAGTCCTACAAATTCAACTTTATTTTCATAATAAGTACCTATGTTGCATGTTTCCTAATATTTCCCACCCCTCGTCGCATTTTGTCGACCCTTAACGTGTGACGGAATCTATAGATGGTTCCAAATGATTGTGCTCATCACACAATCATTTGTCCTAGGTGGGAATCAAACTCGCGACTTCTGCCTTAGTAGTTAAGTTATAGAGTTCCTAGACACACACAACAGAGTTTATTTGACATGTATTTGCTCGTCTCGGCGACCTCGTTAAGCGTTGTAATTGGTGAATAGTTGAACCCGGGCCAATCGCAACGCCGAAAGCGAGTTGATGCGATATAAACTCGAAGTAGGGTCTCTAGTCCGTCAAACACAAACATTACTAAAACTTGATGTTAAAAAAATAAAGGAGTATGAAAAACGCTCTGCAAAAATTAATATAAAAAATGATAATAATAAATTTACACACTTATGAAGAAACAACACCGTTAGTAATTGTTCTTAAATACAAAATTATTTAAATCAAGCAAATGACAAGAACAGATATATTCAGTTTAGTTTCAAAGATTATTTTATATATTTTTTAAATATTATGTTACTGACAATGACGCAGAAGTAAAAAGAGCGAAGAATCCATGTACATTGATACAAACATAATAATGCTGTTGACTTCTTTTGTTGTATACACATGCTTATCTCTGGATTAATCAATAAGATTTGTATTTTTTTCTATTCTATAGAATATTTAGAGTGAGGAAGGAGAGAGGGAAAGAGAGAGTGAGGAAGATGTAGTGAGAAGAATTGAGAAAAGGATACTGCAATGTTTTGGGCATGTTAAAACGATGCGCGAAGAGCGAATGAGTAAAAGAATTTATTAGGTCCCTGTGTGTGGGCGAGTATGTGTGCATAGGTCCCGGAGACATGTTTATTTCACTTCTACTCGATCGTCACGGTGACCGCGTTTACGATTGGCCCTCACTGAAATCTCAACCAATCGCAACGCTAAACGCGCTCGCCGTCGAAAACGAGAAGATGTGGACTTGCACTCTCCCTCTGTTCTAAAGCAATCGTAACGAGCGCGAGCTGTATGTCAGGGCCGCGGAAAATAGTCTTCTATCGTTTCTGCTTACCCCGGACAGGGATTGAGGCGTGAGGAATAATATAGATTATAAAACATCATGTTTTTGTATTCACGGTACATTAACAATAGGTTAATTAGCTCAGTTTTTAAGTTTTAGGAACCAACTAATGCGTTATCGTTTTCAGCTAAGCCAACATCCTTTTCTGCTGAGATCGCCGCGGATGGTTAAAACTTTCATAGTTACTGTTTTTGCATGAATTATGTAGACCTTAGATACTATTTAAATGTTGGTGATGCATGTAAATTAATCGCTAACAACCTGTTTTACTTCTACCCTACACGACACAAAAATGTTTTAGTTTTCAGTTTTTTTATCTTTCAAGTTATTAACTCTTCTTCGTAGTGTTCTGATTAATGGCATTTGATAAATTGCGTGTTTTATTAATATATTTGCTTGCAGTACTTCTAGAGGTATCTTAATATGATATGATCTATAAAAATGAACTGTAGTCATTGGTTGATTTACCCCGACGTCGAATACGCGTGTCCACTATGGTCTCCGGATTTATTCTTAAAAATAAAACATTAGAACTGAAGGCCAATTCTCGTAATCTAAAAACCTCATATAACGAAAAGTGTTTGAACTGTGACTGAATTATGAATTGACTAAATATAGGTATGCTGTAAGTGTTCTCAATAATACCTTCCAGCAGTCTGCTGTTTAATCTCTTAGAAATGTCAAACTTGACGTATAAACAGAGCTGAGAATCCGAATTAGGTTTTGTTCGCATTAAAATATAAATTACTAAGACTGAAGCAGAATACCGATTTTCATTTTTTTCAAATACGATATGATCACATTATATTTAACGTTGAATGTTTAGTACGTACGAAAATTTACCTTCTACACAGAAAATTCTATAGGAGGTTATAGTTTTGGTACACAAGGTTTCACTGTTATTGTAAAACATATTTTAGGACTATAACTTCCTGATAGTAGTTTAAGTTACAGTAACGTGTCCCTGACTCGGACGAAGTATTGTTAACACTTCATCCATTAGTATAAAAAACATCCCTTTCTTTCTATGGCTCTCTCTCATCTGTCATTCCATTCTAAAATACGCTCAATGATTCGATCTTTAATTTCCAAAGTGCTCCACGTTACATCTATAAGTAATCCTAGCTTATGGAGCCTAAGCTAACTGCATAAGCTGGGTTAATATTATAGGTAGCGGTACCTACTAATTTGTAAACTTATTTAGGTGTTTGTAAACTTATGTATTTGTTAGTAGTAAATTAGTTTGACGATGCATTGTCATTTGTGCATTTGTCCCTTTGTCACCTTAAGAATGCCATGTAAGCTATTAGATTTATGTGTTTTATAAGTTTTTATAGCACGCATAGTAGGTAGTAGGTAATAAGAATATTCTTGCAAAATAATATTTGCCTCTTTTCTTATTACAGAACGTCCCATCATGCTTCTACTAAAACGTCTTATACGCAATAAGCAAAACACAGTAATGACGAATACACAAATTATTGAAATACTTCAACTTGAATTTAATATTGAAATAAGTAACTGTCATGAACTCGAAGTTGACATATACATAAAAATAATAAAGAAATATCTCAAAGACTGGCCGCAGTGGGAAGAATTAGAACGTATTTCGAGCAAGTTAAGCAATGTGAAAGACTTTGATGCAGTGGCCAAAGTTCTGAATCACAAATATAAAAATTTGAAAGAGTACTTAGGTGTTATGCTCGAGGCTGCCAAACCTTTAACAAAGAAAGCCGTTAGAGAATTAGCAATAGATTTAAATAAAGGACAAAACGTTGATTCCAGTGAAGTCGTTATGGAGGTATATTGCACGAGGGAACAACTCAATCATTTATTCTTCAGGAAACCACGTGCCGATCTCAACAACGCAATATTTAATATAAATAAAATTGAACCTACCAAGATTTCTCTAAACACGTTAACATTTGAATCTATCCTGAATTTTTGGTGGACGAAAATCTATATTCAGTTACCAAACTTTACTTACTTTCGAGAGCTTATTTATAAATACAAACATACGCTTGTTAACAAAGTAAGAGATGAAAAAACGCCAGCGGAAATTTTAGACACTCGGGTCTACAACAAAGCCAAAAAAGTCAAGGAGCATCCCAAAACTGCAGTATACCAGTATTTTGACAAAATTCTGCAACTCTGCAATGACGAACACGTAGTGCAATTATTGCAAGTAATATTTCACGTACTGAAAACTGATTTAATAGATCTGCCAGATACTGTGAAAATACCCTCAAATTACAGAAAACATGTAAACCAATATAATTATGTTCGATACTTATACGTTGAGAATGAAGAAAGTGATGACACCAAGTATGATTTGCAGCTAGAGGAAGTTGTGACGCCTTCATATCAAATATTAATCGGAAGACTTGGGAAAATGCCTGAGTCACTTCCTCCTGTACAAGAATGGCTTAAAATTGAGTGCATGATGTGTAAAGCCAAATTTATGGGTACCACGGAGTTGATGAGCTTACTTCAGGCCCATTTTAATGACTGCCACCAACATGAGCCAGATTGGCAGTGTCCCCACTGTAAAAGATTGTTCAGTATGGATTATTTGTCGAAAAATCGGTGGTGTCACGAATGTTAGTTTTAATTTGAAGGCTGAATTTAATATTTTATGCTAATTTAGATATATTTGTTAAAAATAACTTCCAATGGCAATAATTAAATTGAAGTAATTGAGGACTTTTCTTGAATGAATTTGGCTGCCTTATTTTTATTATATTTTAATATAATGCAAACTCTGGAGATGTGTACAGAAAAAAGCAATATATAATATTTGTAAAATCGACCAGAATGGCGCCAATGTAGCTAAAGCCAAATGACATGAAATAGAAGTTATATTCTGAATGAAGTTTTCTGAATTAAAGTACTTTTTACTGTTTGTAAAACTCATATTCTGACTGTTTTCGCAGTCTAATACACAGTGTCTTATTATTTTTTAAGCCAATAAAAATTTACATAATGTTTTTATTACAATGTGTTTCTCTACCCTACTCGTAATAAATTTTTGAGCTTTTTTTTAAAAAAAAATACCCTGATGCTACTGTAGCGCCAACTAATTTTTACGCATTTTAACGGACACTTCATACCTAAAAATGGTGCTTACCTCTACCCTATATAAACGCAAACAATGTTAGCTTGTGCCGCGCCGTTATATTTATTCAAATACTTATTAATAATAGGGTAGATGACTCAAGTCAAATCAGTAACTTTTTTTTAAACGTCAAAACGCTAGACGCGGTACACTTTTGTATGAAATACTATTTCGTGACGTCATACCTAGCTATTTTCAAATCATTTATATTTAATGTTGAAATCAAGATATCAAATCAATAAAGACAGTAACTTGATAATGGAGGACAATTCAGGTTCTACTTTGAGATGTTACATTTAACGATGCAGGCGTAATAATTTATTTGAAATCTACCCTATTATATTATTTAATAAAGCACATAATTATGACAAACTATAAATTAGTCGAGACAAATATTATCTCTTCCCTTCCATTTTTGTTTGTTTTCCAATTTCAATATACCCTCACTTTTAATTGGAAAATATCCGGCAGGCGTTTGCCCCTCTTTTATTGGATTATAGATCAAATTAAAGTTGCGAGAAGTAGGGTGTTAATAACGCCTCTGATTACCTCTTCGATGATACAGATGTGAATAAAGAAACGTACATATCTTTTGGAGCGGTGGATGGAAAAGATGATGATGATGATGGAGATTTCATACGTATTAATTTGTATATACAAATATATATTGTTATAGATCATTTACACCCAGACACAGAATTAATGATCATGCTCATCACACAATTATTGGTTCTGGGTGGAAATTGAACTCCCAGTCGGTCACTTACCGCCAGAGCAACAAGCCAGTCATTTGTACAAAGATGCATCCTTAACTTTTTTACACGACCGCACCATGTCTGGATGTTGACAACCCTACTGGTGACCGTCGCAAATAAAACATGAATCCAAGCAATCAAAATTTAGAAATACTTACCCTTTAAATCCTGGTGGTGCGTACATCGTAAGGTCAATATTTGAAGTATTGTAAATACAATGGGGCCTATCAACACAGCATCCGATTAAACCTCTTCCGTTGGTGCAGTTAGTAGCGAAGGTAAAGTTGCCATCTAAAAAAAAAAGTAGTGGATTTTTTTTAATGCTGTTAATAAAATATAGACCAGTATAAAGGTGCTACGTTGGCATATTTACAATTATTTATTCAAACGTAATCATAACATCGGACGTGAAAAGCAATAGAATGGATCTTAAATTTTGCAAGAATTGTAAACGTTTTAATAATAAAAATCGTTTTTTATTTTATTTTACAATTTATATAAAATTAAATATATCTTTTTTTTATTAATTAATAACTCAACCTATTTAGTGAATATAATACCTACATTTATCCATACTAATATTATAAAGGCGAAAGTGTGTCAGTCTGTCTGTCTGTTACCTCTTCACGGTAAAACCGTTAAACCGATTTAGATGAAATTTCATATAGAGATAGTCCGAGTTCCGGGAAAGGATATAAGGTAGTTTTTATTCCAGAAATCACTGTCCATCTACTTCCATCTACTTTAAAAAGTAGAGTGGAAATTTGTATGGGGAATCAATAACCGCTGTACCGATTTAAATGAAATTTGGTATCTAGATACTTTGATTCTTGAGGAAAGATATTGGCTAACCGACATTTACGTGGCCGGAGCAAAACAAATCATCATTTATTTGTTTATAAACTATTATATATATTGTTTGTTTTGCAAAAGCTGGTATTATTGTATTCACCAAATAGGTTGAGCTACTACGTTCATATACTACGAGATATCATATACTATAGCGTTCATTAAACGTTACGTACTACGTAACCTACGTAATGAAGGCTATGGCCAATTATTATTTTTATTTGAAAAATACAGAGTACGTTATGTTTGTTTATGGCTAACTTTTTTTGACGATATAGAGTATAAACAAACAGTCTACGGGTAAGTGACTACCATCGCATATAAACACATGCATTTCTAGGATCACAGGAGCGTTGCCGGCATTTTCTTTGCTAGAATCATAATAGTTATAATAAAAAAAACACAGTTTCACTCCGGGAGTGCCGACGGAAGTGAAAACTTGAAAATTTTTGATTTTCACAGGATTTTTATTTGTTTTTTTTTCGATTCGCAAAAGTTCCAACATGAATATATATCTATGTTGTACGTATGTACACAATATTTGTTTATTTAATATATAGTTATTTTATCAATGTATTTCAACCCAAACTCAACTCTAGTGTAAACGGCCCATATATGTAGATACTCATATACAGAGTGGTCGGTAACGGTAACAGTGTTCAATGGTTTTATCCCATTCTTTTGTTTACTGTTCAAAAATACCCAAGTTTTTACTTCAATAATTTGACACATCTCAGACACGGGTCTGATTTCAAACTAGGCGGAGACTCTACTATGGTACCCAGACTGCTGATAAACGTACTTATATATTTCTAAATGCATTTATATTTTACATAAATTACACTCAGACACCGAACAAATGATCGTGCTCACCACACGACTACTTGTCCTGGGTGGAAATCGTACGGGTCCGGAAATACCGCAAGCAATATTTTGTTTGTTAAAACAGATTTTTTTGAATGGAAAACCAATTTTCTAAAGTTGTATGATGAAATAAAGTCCCCCCCCCCTGCTACTGCAATTCCAGGAGGGGGGCTCAAAGGGGCAACCCACTTATGTCTATTGAGTTACAGAGGTCCATGGGCCGTGGTTGTCACTTATCATCAGGTGAAAAAATAGATGAAAAAGGGGAGAAACGGGAGTTAAGTAAAAGTTAATCGGAATAGCTAGCTTCTGTCATCTATTTTTTCATTTGATGATAAGTAAACCATAATTTAAATTTCGCTACCAGGAAATATTCACGCAATAAGTTTTGAACATCAACAGCCTTTAATAGTCCACTGCTGGGCATAAGCCTCTCCTTAGAAAGGAGGTTTTGGCCCACTATACCACGCTGGCCAAGACGGGTTGGTATAGGGTTTGTGTCAAGTTTTCCTTCTTTTTGCAGTGCTGTTATCCTGCGTAGTTTGCTCCTTTAGTCGTCTCTTACGACACCCACGGGATGAATAGGGGTAGTGGCATTCTGTATTCTTAAACCCTCACTACAAAATTTTGAACATCGAATATCGACATACTTGGCAGTTGGTTTACACAGGAGTAGTTGCCAGGACCCGTAAGCGGAAAACCATTGACGTCTTCAGACACCATCAGGTCCGAAAAACAGACAAACGACACCAGGATGATTACCAACACACTGTAAAGAAATGTTAACTTATGTAAATTAAAAATAAAATATTTATAGCCAAGTTTTTTCTTGCTCTACCTACTGCGTCACCCGGTACTAAAGTAAATAGATTTCGGAGCCAAGCGAGTAGATCTAATAAATCAAATAAGTAAATACAATTCGATTCCCGCTCAAGTCAAACATTTGTGTGCATGAACATTTAATGTTTGATTTGGTCTGGGTGATCTATGTATAATATGTATGTATTTACAAAAGTATAAATGTATTTATATCAGTTGTCTAGTACCCATAGTACAAGCTCTGCTTAGTTTGGGACAAGATGGCGTTGTGTGCATGTGGTAGAATATTATTATTATTATTAAAGAGTAAATCCAACATAGATAATCGTTAGCTAACTGTTGGCAGGGGCTTCCCTCGTGTGATTATTTTATTATTTCCTGTTTCTAATTTTGAAAATGACGTACTTCCATAGAACCCTTTACTTTTTGTTTACGCTCATGAAGGTGAAATTTCCAAAAATATTTTCTTAGTAGGTTCTTACTATATAAAAAACATTAGCTGCCTACATTTTAAGTTTGTAGCCCTAGCGGTTTAGGCCATAAGTGGATGAATTAGTAGGTCAGTCCAAGTATTTTACATGTATAGATTTACTCATTTCCATAGCGTTAATAACTTCGTTTGACCAGACTCGTCTGGTCCAAACTAGGCAGAGCCAGCCACGGTTATCAAACTGCTGCTACCGTAATAAATCATAGATACATAAATAAAAAGATATCATTAATTCTCTAGGAATGTTTTAGCAGCGGAGAAGCTACGGTTTTCATTCAGGCGACGTTGGTTTTGGTGCCAAAAGTTATACATATAGGTAATATATCCTATCTATTACATGGATGTCTATAACTGCTGAATTCGTTATCTTAAACGAATCACAGAACCCATGCACATCGATCTACTTGTCACTACTTCATGTGCCAGATCACCGCGGGACCGACAGCTCTGTCAAAGATGGCAACTCCTTATGGTTAGTGAACCAATCACGGTGACCGCGTTCGGCGTCAACGCAATCGCAAAGTCCAACGCGCTTGCCATAGAGAGCGAGAGGATGTGAAATAAACTTACACCTCAGTGCGGGACCAGAATCACACTAGACCCCCTGATTCACTTACATGTGAACAATCGCATTTCATTAATAAATTAACTTAGGCACTAAATTGATTGTTGTGGCACGAAGACTGTATGTAACTTATCGTCCTATCAATTACCTACATATGCTACCTTCACCTTAAAATATAATTAACTTTTAAAAAAGTATCACCGCAATCAATGCTCCTTTATTTCTGTGTGGAAATCCCCTCGGATACCACCCATTAGTTCTTTTTATTGTTCTTTAAAAATACAACGCCCGCATTAGGAATATATCCTGTGTCGCGGGGGACTTTACAAGCATACATGAAACGGACACAAAGAACACCCAGACTTTAAACAACAATTTGTGGATCTTTTTGTGATCCCATATGGGGTTTGAACCCACAACACTCGGCGTAGTAGGGAGCGGCGTGGCGACCGCTTAAACCACTAGGTACGCCATCCGTGCAGTGGGATGATTATGTCGGACTCGAACCGACTAAAAACTGCACGCCGTCTCGGGTACCAGTAGCCAGGTGAACCAGGTGTACCTTAG